GTTAAGTCCCCGTAACCCGCAAGACGTGTTTTGGATCAGTTTCTCACTAGCCATATGTTCAGCAAGCTCGGGTTCCTACATCCGTTGACCTTCGCAATAGGTTTTGTGTTCGCAGTCCTCTGGATGGGGTGGAAATTCTCATACGAACATTGTCACCACAGCCTGATCTTAAAAGAGGGTTCGAAAATCCTCTAAACGAAGTAACTACTCGAGAGTATTTGTTTCACTTTCTGCACTGCTCATGTTTATCTCTTCTGTCAATCTCGCGACCATTCCGCAATCTGACCCGAGGACAAAATCAAGAACTAAGTATAACGTGCCTATTTATCCCGTTCCAAATAGATGTATCTTCATGATTACTGGGTCTTAATATTTTCTTGTTTGTGAATCTTGGTTGCTATTTGCTATGGAACAGTTCATGTCTCAATCTACTTATATTCTTGTACCTGCGGTTTATGTATGTCATGCATCGGCATCTTTTTAGCATTGATTACATAATTACTACTTTAACTATATATGATAGGATGAGATATTAATAAGGAAACTCGCAATTTTGAAAGCTACAACTTGCCAAAGTGACAAGTTAGTCGAGAGACTGACTCCACTTGTCTCTGATGCGTTTTGTCTTGGTGCTGAGACTGGCAAGACTCACTATTGATGCCAACTAGAGCCGGCGAAACGTCTGATATTGTACTAAGTTTATGGTCTGTCACTAGGAATTATGGTAACTGCTATGGCAGACTTCTGATGAGGTGCGTCGAACTAAGTCGTCCTGACTACAAGACGAGGGCAACCCAATGCTATACACCGAAAGGAGACTGGGACTATGCCAAGGACTACACCAACTTACCCTTCATTTCTTCCATCGACTTTATAAGGTCCCTGTAATTCCTTGTTGAAAGCGTCCAAGTTTCAGGGATTTGCTTTAACTGAATACAAATTAATCTTGATGCTTTTTGCATCACGCTGCCTCCATTATTGACAATAATTCTTGATGGTGTATCTTCGTTTTAAATTTTGGGGAGAACTATAAGCCACATCTCGCTGGAGAGTGAGGTGATTTCTACTTTTCAGCACTCAACTGGAATAAAAACCGGCTAGAATAGCTAATTTTTTCTACACGTTACCACTACCATACGGTTACGAGGGCCATAGGGTCGGAAATAAACGCTACACTACTTGGGTCCGATAGGACCCAAGAAAGGCCGAATTTCCACTTTAGTCCAGTCTGGATAAGAAGGCCGAGGGAACTGGAATGGTGTCGTGATTTTTGCTCATATGGTTGTATAAAATTTTACTAATACTACTTAATCACCTTATTTAACATAGGGTAATTAGAGTTCTTATTCTCGACCGGCTGGCAGTTTGCAACCTACCATATAAATGTATTTGAAATTATTGGATTGGCTTGGCTCTACAATTTCCATCGGACTGAATCCCAAAGTCTGAGGTCTTGACTTAATGGAGGTTATAATAAACTTTATGAGTTGGACAACTACCTCGCGTGTGAGGAGGTAGTGCTGTAGAGTGGGTAAATCACTAAATAAAAGATCAGGTAGGTGAATATTTACACTACACGTTGCCTTCGTTAGAATCCATTGGTCTGGCTCTGTGATTTAATTATTCCTACAGAAAACGGACAGCCTCATACAATGGGAATCGATGCTATCCTAGGGAGAACGATGGTTGACGTAGTAACCTAGTGACGTTCTACCATATATAAAGTGAAGCAATATTTCGAAGGATGCCTCAATAGATTCATGCTGCATGCATTTTATTTTGTAATTAATGGTGAGTAGGTGGATTTCGTAAATTGGCCACACCGAAAAACGAAGGATGATCGCCTAGGACTTTTTTTGGTTGGATTATGTGAATGCTCCTTTGGGCTCATCGTCCTGTAACCCCGATTAATCCGTGCCTAGCTTTCGTCCGATATGTGGTAAATATCGTCATTAAAAAAATCAATCAATTAAGATCAATCATAAAACATATTAAGCCAATAAAGCATACCGGCTGACTGCATGAAAGGAGTAGAATGTATTCACAGCTTTTCTTTGTGTAAATAAAATAGCATATGACCCAGCAATACTGACGCTTGCTTTGTGTTTGCAGTTGGCATTCGAGTATGTATGCAATATTTATGAGTAACTTAACAAGTTAGAGCCCAAACCAAACTTCACATTAGTCACTACTTCTCTTCTTTGGTGGAACGTCCTGTTCTCTCACTCTCTCCCCTATTCTACTCTGTGAGCAGAGATAGTTATTGAAGTTGATTGACCTTGTTTTCGCAACTTGGTCATATTGATAGAAAGACCTAATTGAACGCACCTAGTCCGGAGTCTATAATATGCATTATAATTTCCAGATTCAAACCGTGGATGTGGTACATTCTCAGACGTTTCGCCGGCAATGTAGTCGGCATCGTCAGTGAGATTCGCAATTCTCAACACTATATTACAACTCGTCAAAAAGACAAGTGAAGCTGATCCTGTGACCAAATGTAGGCTAAACAATCATGGAATTTCTCCATCCACACTTGGCTAATCACAAATTCTATTTCCTCGTATCACGCCTTCACTATCACTATTTTTACTTGTTTATTTTAATTGGTATGGTGTGCCCTTTTGAGCGGATCTCGTGGGAACTCTCCTCTTAACCCCCATTCACCCTTATGCTAGGAATGTTGATAAGTGTCTGCCGTATTGTTACGCAGATTTTCATTCCATAAGTCTTATCAGAGTCTTCCTCTTGCCCCGCTGGTTCCGTCTGCTATCTCTCGGGTTCAAGTATTTCACTCGACCCCTACAACCCTATCTGTGCTACTTGAGGCGTTATTACCCCTCCCCTGCATCTGGGTGACAAATTTGAGGCTAAAGCATCTATTCATCGAAAGGACACTGCAGCCATACAAAATGCCACACCATCCTGGTCTTCATACCTACCCAAGCTAGTTTTTGCTTACTTTTCTGCTATTGTTGCCTTTATTCATGATATTTTTTGTTTTGTTACTTTCTACTTGACCCCCTAATTTTCGCTTAAACCTTAAAGTATTCGAATCCAACACAATCTTTAGATTTATACCATTCTATCTGGACTATTGTGGTGAACATATGTTTAGCCACTCCAGATTTATAAAGCAATAAAATTTTGTATCGCTGATTGACCTAATTTACACATTAGAACTAAGAGGGATCTTGTTAAGGTATATCATGATTTAGTTGAACAAGGGCCCATAGTAAACATTTCACGTATATATTATTAGGTAAAAACATTAGCCATGCATACGAAATGATTGTCCTACAATTTTAATTCAAGGTTGTCAAGGCTTAAGACTATATGAGCTTGAATTTCATAGCAGCGGTGTTAAAGTCATCTATACCTTTGCTTAAAAGTATCTAGAGATTATGATGCGCTAGACTTTTGAAAGCATTCTATCGGCCTTATTACACAAAGACATTACACTTGGATTATCTATTTGGTACTCCTAAACCATCTTAGACTTAATATTTTAGTAAGGATTTCCATCAGGCAGAAATTTCTTTCCTCTCCTTCATCTCACATCGACTGTTGCATTCAGATAAGGAAAAACCATATGGATGTAGGTGGTACCTACACCTCTGTATATTTGAGTAAATAAGAGATCAGCCTAACAATGAAAGTATCACCACTTCCTTTAGTCGCACAGCATGTATGTCGACAGTCGACTGATAAGTGAAAAAATAATTTTTTATCTGCATCTCTCTGGAGTAGTGAATTCCTTTTCCGCTTCTCCATTTCCCTATTACCTATGCATACCTTAATGGCATCCTTTAGCCTAGTCTTAAGTCTTTATGTTGGATCTCTTAGTAAAGGCCCATACGTGCCATTGCCATTTAAATGAACTAGCATTTTTTTCTACATAACTTGGCTTACCCATGATTACCACTGCTACACCTTTTTCGGGTTTAATTACGATAACGTTATTACCACACAGATATCTATAAATCCTTCTACGATGAAGATCTTTCTTTGGCGATATTATATGGTCAAAAATAGGGATCACCTCCAGTTTAATACCATTCCTTACCCCTTCAGGCAATCTATCAGAAAGCGAATTAATTTAAAAAGTATTTCCTGAGAGTAGCTTACGTCATTTGAAAGATCAAAGTTTATTCTTCTTTCTAATAAAAGTACTACGATATTCTCTAGAGTTGTACTAGAGAAATCGATTACATTATCCTTACCCATTTAGAAACAATGATTATTAGTACGAGTTATCTTAGGTGCAAAATTTCTAGGTATAATTCTAATTTCTGGATTCCGGAGCTTCTTATCATGTATCCGACGAGTA